GCTGAAGCCACCATGTTCTTTAGAATGAACTGTCACGCTTCTCATTGCGTCACACCTAAACCCGCCTCAAAGCCAATGCTGATTGGACGTTTGTTTGGTGAACGGCTCCAAATTTTCTTCAACGGAGAGGCTCCAGACTGATTAGCGAGTGAAATCTTGAAAGCTCGCAAGATCAGGATGGTCTCACGAGGCTACGAATTTACAGCAGCAGAAAGATCATTGAATATGGTCACAGAAATGTGGACCTTAGAAAAATGTATAAGAATAACATAATAGGGAAGAGTTAAAATATAAACAATAAAATCCTGTAAAGTGTTTTAACAATATAAAACTGTGCACCTCGAGAATAAATAACCAATATCCAGCTATGGACATTTTTACAGTACTATTTGAAAATAGCAGCAACATCAGAGATGTGCAAAATGACAGCGGCATGTTATTTAACTGAGTAAGGTTTCTATCATTTTTTATTTGTTCCTGCTCCCGGTGGTTGGCACCTTTATAGAGCATGCGGTGGTAAAACCCGCCAAAGGGTAGACCTGTTCGAATTCACAGCCAAAACTCTTCCGGTCTCCTTATTTTCACCGACTTCAAAGGATCCACTCTAGGTAGACCGCGTCCTTGGAGGATGCGTCCTAGGAATTTGAACAAAGCCTTAGTTGGCGCCCCTTGTTTTACTTCCGCTGCTTGTCCAACAAAGACAAAGCAGCTCATTGGTCCATTTACTGCCCCCAACTGGACTGGAATATAATACCTCAATTCAACCTAAAGTGGAATCTTGTATGAGAAGAATTTTGTTCTTCTTTTCTACTGTACTGAAATCTTTGAGAATGTATTCTCTCTTAATAGAGTGTTGAAGGTAGATATATAATAGATGATGTCTCCACAATTTATAATTACAACAAGGTAGAAAAAAATCCACATCATCTATATGAAGTAATTTGAAATTAGGAGGAATATCAGGAAAAAATACATCTCGTCTAACCAAAGAGATTAAGGGATTGCTTTTATGATCTTATTAAACTTATTCTTTGTAAAATGAATTTGATATTTTTTCCTTCATTGTTGATGAAAAGGGAAAGAGCCCAGATTTAGTTTTTATACCACTCTTCAACAAATATAGATTTTCTATTACTCCAAATGTACCTATTGTTTTAAACTGGGGTATTGTGAAGTGTAAAATTATGGTTAAAATGAGTTTCCAGTGAAGATGACGCTGTTTATGAAAATCAGATAGTTGCATTGATAATCCATCCATCCATCCATCCATCCATCCATCCATCCATCCATCCATCCATCCATCCATCCATCCATCCATCCATCCATCCATCCATCCACTTCCCTTATCCTTGGTTGGGTCACGGTTGTAGCAGCTTCAGTAAGGAGTCCCAGACATCCGTCTCCCCGGCCACTTGGTCCAGCTCCTCCAACGCGCTCCCAGGCCAGCGAAGAAACATAGTCCCTCCATTTAGGTATTTAGGTGGACGCAATAATGATTACAATTATAAAAAACATACTTTATATTCTTGTGCACTTTACATAATTATCTCAAAGTGCTAACAAACAAACTTAAAAATAAATATAATACATGGGAAACTCATATTTCTATGCTGATAAATCCCTAATCCGTCCCAGAAGAGCAGTCAGATTACAGCAGATTCAGCAAAACTGGATTTTCAGCCATCAACTCCTCTCAAGAAATGCTTGACCAAATATGTTGCAAATGTTGCTTTGTGTGGAGCCTGTTACAGGGGGGAAAAAATATCTCTCTGGCCGCATGTTAGGAATGCAAACTGGTTGTTCTCTGGGGCTTGTTGATATTCAGTTTTAATAAATATGCCACAATATTTAAATTCATTCGTAGTGGTTCCTATTTTGGTTTAATTGCATATAGAATTGTTTCCTCTCCTCCCCTCCTTTAATTTATGCCATGCCATGCAGGTGTATATTTCTTTTTTTATTTCTAACAGTCCAAACATATTAACCTGCATATATGCTATCCCTCCATGGCCTGATAATCTACAAAATCCCTCCTTTGTGCCCACAATAACCAGTTTGCACCTTACTTTCAAACATACTTAATATACAATAGTGTTCGGTAATTACAATATATATTTACAAAAACACAAAGTGTGTTCACACCGTCAGCTTAACATAAATCGCCTATCAGCTTCTATGGAGATCTACTCTCTGAGTATACATAGTTTGCATGTGTTTTAAAGCCTCTGTTTATGACCTAATATAAGTAAAATAGTATTTGACTAAAAGTTAATCTTTCTGTCTTCATTTATCTCCTTTGTGCTCTTAAGCTAATCCCTGAGCTTACGAGCTTCAGAATAACCAGGCAACATCCCCGGCCCAGATCAATACAGAGAGATCTGATGGATCTGACACACACCTATTTCATTCAAATTGCTGTAAAATTGAAGTTGTTTTGAATTTAAATGTTATTTTGAGTTTTAGATCTTTTTATCTTTTTTGTGCTTGTGAGTTTTGGAGTTTGCATGACACATGCTTTTGGGGCCCATTTCCGGCATTTTTACACCTGTTGGCCACTGTATAAATTCACACTGTCAGCCAAATTATAAGATTAATCAAAGAAGTTGACAGATGATGAAGAAAAAGAACTTGACATTTTACAAATACTAGCTCTGGAGCGGGGATATGAAGAAAAGGCAAAGCAAGCTTGTATAATGTCAAGATGGAAGTGGTTTGACCAAAGTGAAAAAAACTCAAAAAAAAAAAAAAAAACTCCATTAATTTGTAGAAAAGAAACTTTGAAATATTCTTGATAAGTAAACCTCAGATAAATGGCTCTATATGTGACAATTAAATGATTGATGAATGCATCGCCACTTTGATCATCAGCAAGAGTCCAAGGAATGTATTGATGAAAATAAAATGTAATTAATTAGCCATGATTTTAGAGATGTTTGCAATTCCATTACTGACACCCTGACGTGACATCTATCGACTCATTAAACAGCTTTACAGAAGAATTTTATAAACAGCTTCCTTCTCTGTTCTTGGTTCAAGTGTTTGAATTACAAAAGGCCTTCTATTACGTACATTAAAATTAAAACAAGGGCAGCTCAAATTAATTCCCAAACCAAAAAAGGAAAAATTAAACACTGAGAACTGGAGGCTGGAGCACATCATTGACAAAGTACGGTCAGGATTCATTCAGTTCAAAAACACTTAAATAATCCCAAAGTGGAATAAAATGTTGCAGTAACTCATATATCATTTTTTAACCACATGTTGTAGGTTTTGATAACAGTAGACAGGAAGGATATTCTATAGTGGTCTGTCTTGCACCCGATCTGCAGAAGCCTCTTAATGAAAAAACTTTTGTTTAAAACTCTTCTGAAGAGGATGCTCACCCTTGTCCATAATTTGTTCCACTTTATAACGAGTTCTTCTTCATGAAATAATCTCCACAGATTCTAGAGGAGTTACTTGAACAGAGTCGGGCTTCTTAATTAGCTTGTTGAGCTTCTTTCTTACAGTACAGACTTACAGTAGCAGCTATTCAAAATGGCCCATCCCAGTCAAACGCCAGCCTACAACTCCCAGCGAAATCCCCGACAACTTCCAGCCAGTGACCCCCTCCTTCTCCTGGGTGTGCATATTTTTTTACTCCACCCTTTCACTGAATTACAGGGTCTGACCAGGAGATGACGCTTCTCTTTAGACCTTAATCTTTACAAATCATGACAGAAAGAATATTTCAGTCCAAAGATTGATGTTTAAAAAGGAATTGCAAGGGATCAGCCCAGGGCCTATCAAGGAAAGCTGAGAAATTTTGAAAAGTTACTATTGTACCATGAATTGCTGCCAACGAATGTGTAGGTGAGATGTACAGCCTAAACCTGACCCTTACCCTAAACCTAACCATTGCGGGGTTCATACCTAACCCCAACCTAAACACAATTCACATCTTATTCCCAAATCTGAATCCTGAGACAAAAACAGTGGGGTCCAGGCCCCGTGTCCCTGAAGACGGGCCCCACAATGTATTACAAACAAGAGCACAAACACACAATCACGTACTCATAAAAGTTCCCATATAGCCACTTTCCCACTAAAAATAGCGGGTTAACATTTGTTTTTCAAGAATGGGTCAACACGCTAACAATCAACATTTGGCCCCCTTCCCATTGGTGAAAAAATCTGGGTCTGACCCCTTGCTGGCAGCTGTGTGGGCTCTGTCTCCCTGCTGCTGCATGTCTGGTGACACTATCCTGCTGGGTAAGCCTTGATGATGTCACCAGTGCGACAGAAATCAGGAAAGTAAAAAATTGATATCAACATTTAAATAAGCCAGGGTGTAGTAAGTGTGATTTATCGTTTTTTTCTCTCAGAATCTCTCAGAGCCAAGGCAATTTTAATGTCGGTCACTTGCCGAATCGTTTGACACGGGTAGACACGCGTAAATGAGCGGTTCCCATTGCTAATAAAAGCAAATTGTTCCCTGTGCTCTGGTCCCCTCTGTTACAGCCCTAGGCTCTTGGGGGCCAGTCTGGGTCTGCTCACACCTGCTATTCAAAATGTGCTTGTGCTGAAAAAGCCTTTTAAACATGTAGTTTAAAAGTAGTTCAAGATAACGTTATGTTTAATATTAAGCTACAATTCTGTATAGATCTGTAGAACATTATTTGATCTTCATCAATATTGCTTTTGATGTTTTTATACGCAAATTTACTGTGTTCATTGGTTACTGCCTCTTCCATTGTGGTCGGTGTGTTTCTTTTCCAATAATTTCTTGCAGGTCTAAAGGCAGACTTCAAGGAATAATCCTGTATTTATGTTGTTTTTTTCTTTTCTTTGCTCTCTCTCCTGGATTCCTGTTCCTCCTCTTTCCATATCTGACTATTGCATATGAATTTTCTCTAATGCCAATTCTAATTAAGTTTAATACAAAATGAAATGACCAAGTGAAACTTAATAGCAATAGAAATGAGCAAACCTGCTGGGTCATTATACAGAACAGAGAAATGTATTTTCAGTGCTTCGTTGGCAGACAGGACACAAACAAACCATCTAATGTTGATCTTTTTTTATTTTTACAATATTTTAATTCATAGATTTATAAGTTCATATAAAGTTGCATTACTTACATGTTTTAATACTTTCAAAATGTATATATGTGAAGTCATTTTTACTTTGTCCCAAAAGAGACATTTTTCTCAGGAAGAAAACATAAGAAGCTGGATTCAACATATGCTGGAAATAAACACACACACACACACACACACACACACACACACACACACACACACACACACACACACACACACACACACACACACACACACACACACACACACACACACACACACACACACACAAAAACCAGGAGACAGCATAAAGACAGAAAAACTATTATAAACACGATTCCGAGGATCTATTGACTGTGAAAAAATGTATGCATCATTTATTATTATTTTTAAGTTGATTAATTATTCTATCAAAAAATGACCAAAACTAATTTGAGCATATACAATCTTAGAAAAACTTACAGTACAATTTACTATTTTATTGTAAATCTGCAAGTTGAATGATTTCTTGTCATTTTTGTGGTTTCATTTTATGAGATATTAGACTTCCAAAGTTAGCAATGCTTTTCCCCCACATATTAGACATTCAAAGGTTTCTCATTAGAGTGGGTTTTCTTGTGAGAATTTAAATTTCTATCGATTATGAAACTTTTTCCACATGTCTAACATGAAAAAAGTCTCTCACCTGTGTGGGTTCTGATGTGATATTCCAAACTTCTAATATAAGAGTAACTTTTTCCGCACGTTCCACAAGTGAAAGGTTTCTCTCTAGTGTGGGATCTCAAGTGAACATATAAAGTACTCAACTGAGAGAACCATTTTCCACATGTCTTACATAAAAAAGGTCTCTCACCTGTGTGGATTCTCAAGTGACTATTTAAACTGCTCAACTGAGAGAAACTCTTTCCACATGCTTTGCAAGTATAAGGTTTGTCTCCTGTGTGGGTTCTTATGTGAACCTTTAAAACACTAACCGTGGAGAACCTTCTTCCACATGTCTCACAGGAAAAAGGTCTCTCATCTGTGTGGGTTGTGATGTGATATTTTAAATTTTTACTATAAGAGAAACCTTTTCCACATGTCTTGCAAACAAGAGGTTTCTCATTTGTGTGGGATCTCCTGTGAACGTTCAAGGAACCCACGGAAGAGAAGCTTTTTCCACATGTCTTACAAGTAAAAGGCTTCTCACCTGTGTGGGTTCTAATGTGTACATTTAAACTACTCATGCAATTGAAACTTCTTCCACATGTCTTACACATAAAAGGATTCTCCCCTGTGTGGGTTCTAATGTGAACATTTAAACGATTAACTCTCGCAAAACTTTTTCCACATGTCTTGCAAGTAAAAGGTTTCTCTCCTGTGTGAGTTCTGATATGATCATTTAAAGTAGATCTTTGAGCAAAACTTTTTCCACACGTCTTACAAGTAAAAGGTTTCTCGCCCGTATGGGTTTTATAATGTTTTTTCATGGTATACTTATTCTTCAAGACTCTCCCACATATTTCACATTTAAAAGTCCCTTTCTTTGTAGCAGTTTGAGTATGAATATCTGACACAGCGGAGCTGCTTCCTTTCTGATCTCTGTTCTCCACTACCGGAGGCCTATGAAAGGAAGTACGCTCAGTTCTTTTTTTTCTTTTACTTGAATCCATCAAAGTAATCGACTGCTTCTGGACAGGCTGATCTTCCTGCTGACGGGTGATTGGGTCCTTCTGGTCCCTCCCTAGTGGCAGAGTGGAGCTGGTTCCTTCCTGATCTCTGTTCTCGGCTACAGGAGGCCAATCAAAGCAGGGCTGCTCAGTTTTTGACTTTCTTTTGCTTGACCCTATTTCATGAATACTAGAGTTCTCCATCAAAGTCATGGACTGCTTCTGGAAAGGCTTCTCTTCCTCCTGCCCGCTGCGTAGGTCCTCTACAGGTGGCAAATATCCTACTAGCCTATGTTCATAGCCAGATACTGATGAATATTGTTCATCCTTTACTTTGAGTAGTAGAGATGCTGGTTTCTCATCATCTTCATTCCATGAAGGTCCTGGTTTATCTTGTTCTTGATTTAGCAGCAAATCTGGCTCCTTCAGATTCTCTTTAGCCCACATATACTCTGGTTCCTCAGCTCCTTCGCTAATCATTGCAGGTTCTGGGGGCTCTTCTTCCCGTTTAATCCACGAAGGCCATGATTCGCTTTGTTCTTCATTTAGTAACAAACCTGGTATGTTTGGATCCTCTTTAGTCCATTTGGACTCAGGCTGTTCATCTTCTTCTTTAACTGGCACAGGTTCTGTCAGCTCTTCCTCCTCTTTAATCCATAGCGGTCCTTGTTCATTCTGTTCTTCAATAGGAGGGTGAAATGATTTCATCTGATTCTCTTCAGTCCAATAAGATTCTGATTCCTCCTGGTTCTGGATGGACCTCCTCTCCTGGTTATAGAGTTGTTGGGACGCCGAAGCTTCCTCAGAATTAGGGGCATGTGGCTTTGTGAGACCTGGGAGGAAAAAAAAAATACTATAAAGCAATACATGATGTTATTTCACAACAACCACTGTTTTGGGATTGTTCTCAGTCACCTGGGGCTTTTGGAAACAAACAGCTGGGGTTCAGTTCTGGTAGTTAAAAAGGTCCTCTTATTTTCGAAAATGGCAATGCCCTACTGCTACTCCAATGTGCCTGCAGTGAAATGTTTATTTAAAATGCTGAGGTGCCTTTCCACTCAGATTTTTCCTTAGTTGTTTTTATAGTAATTAAATAGAAACCAATTTAGCTTACATTAATTTAATTTAATTACATTAATTAAATGACAGGTACCAGATCCTCATGTTAGGGTGGATGGATTTTCCCTCCACCAAAGACAGCCAAAGCATTAGGTGGAGAACTCTGCTTATTTTTGACTTTTGACTTTTAACAGCACTTTATTTACACAATTCAAACATATATACAATTGACGTAAAACAAGTGTCAGTTAAAATCACTATTATAGTAAAACAAGTGTCAGTTAAAAATCATTAAATGATGAGCTTGTTAAAATGCAGTTCTCCATCATCTGACACAGTACATAAAATGTTTTTAAAACCCCACAACTGAATAAAATCCTCAATGTTCTGTGTGGCTCTATGGAAGTGAAACTCAACTCATAACAGTTAAAAGGAGAACTTGATCTGAACATGGAACTTCTTAAGGTGAGTTACAGACAAAATTATCTTCACCTTGAGTTTTCCCATGTCATTATATGTGCGGTAAACATTCCTCTGTCAAACAATGGAAAGACTGCCACATAAACTTTCCTCGAGTCACACAAGACCAGCAGCTTTCCTTCCCTGATGCATTGTTTGTCATCCACAGAGATTTTAACCCCTGCCCAATCAATTTCACTGTATGATCAGTGTTCTGAATTGGCGCCATATAAATAGACTGAATTTAATTGAATATTCATGGATGTTGATGAATAAAGGTTTCTCTTAACAGGACCAATGTCTATTTGAAGGAAATGTATCTCTATTTAACCCTAACCCATCAACAATCCCTGGATAACTTTTGGCAGAGCTGGAACTTAACAGCCTGGTAGCTTAGTGTACCCCCCGCCCCTCTTCCGGCTAAGGACGGGCGACTCATGGCTCTCTGCTGAGGTCCGGTTCAGTCAGTGGCACAGCAGTCGACACTTCATACCCCACATCCCTTGGGCCAGTGAACCAGTGGGCTGGTCTGTAAAGTGTTGACATCAACTCAGGGCTTTGTTTGGAATCGTCCGTTTTATGGTGGAAGTTCAGAATTATGAGATTTGTAGAGAAAAGAGGTGTTGATGGGGTTTGAACTTCTCTGTATGTCCATTTCACCCACTGAACTATCGTTATTAATCTATGACAATATAAACGAGATTATGCATTCTATGAACCCTTTTAAGACCAATTATTTCTAACATAATGTTAATGTGCATAAGACATTAGTACGAACATATTTTGTGTGCTTATCTGTTCTTTCAGTATAAAGCCCGGCGTACACTGTGCAAATTTTTTCAATCGTTGCACGCATCTGCTGCTCACACTGTACGACTAAAGGCAGAGTTTATTCGTACAGTGTGAGCAGCAGCTCACGATTTATGTTTGGGCCGACGCTCAGATGCAATCTACCTGCTCACACTGTTAGAATAAAAACCACGTCAGACTTAGCTCCGCAGTGCGATGGAGCTGATCTGACGTGTCTATCCTGAAGCCAAACAAATAGAAGGGGGAATATTAAGCTCACTATACTGAACCGTGCTACCTTGGCAATTTTGTGCTGAAAGTAAAAAAAAAACAACAAAAAAAACACAGCGTATTCGGAAAAAAGACATGGCTGAGCAAACGTGGCTGCTGCGGTCTGTCAATTTTGCAGACGGAGCTGCATTTCATTCATTGCATCCCTGTCACGCTGCTGTGTTTACATCTGAGAGGAGGAATAAAAAGAACAATCCTTGTATGCTCATGCGCCCTGAGCAATTTGCCCATGACAGTTGGGAGAAAATCAAACATGTTTGATATTCTCCCGACCTCACAATTTCTGATCAGGAGGTGGTCATGAGAGGCTGATCCCGCTCGTAACCCCCTGTACACTACACGACTCACGACGCACAATCAGGCTGAATGTCGGCCCGATCGAAAAATACTCGAACGACTGGAAAATCGCCCCGAAAATCACACAGTGTACGCCGGGCTTAAATGTGCTATTTGGACATTTCTGCTCACATACAGCACTATGATCTACATTGTTATTGAAATGCTTTGCTATATTCAGATTATCTTAATTTCCAAAACTGAATAAGAGTTTTTTTAAAAGACACAATTAATAGTAAAATACATTTCATATTTGTGGGCTTCTAGATCACATTATTCTATAGTTTTTTCTGGATTTTACATCAGATGGAAACTTGTTAAAAATATGTTTACGGTCCATATATCTTTTGGTCATTGCATTTCTGTGTCAGAAACGGGAATTAAAAAAACAAAAAAACAAATGGGCATTTGATTTTTGTTTTAAAATACAAAAAAGAAAATTGAAATTCAAAGTGTTTCTCTTTTTCATTGGAAAAAAGGGGAAATGCATATTTGAAAAAATGATTTATAATTACATTTCAGGAGACAAAAAACAAAAATGTTTTTGAACAGAATCGAAAAAAGGCTCATTTGTAGACAAAAAAAAGGCTAAATATTACAAAGGCAAATAAATGACTAAATAAATTACTTACTTTAACAGAGTTCTCCTCCCCCAAAAAAAGGTTCAATTTTAGTAGATCTTTATCAGATAGTGCAGTTATACATTTTAAAGAATCTGCTTCACTTTCTCTCTCCTCTGTGTCGCTAAGCAGTGCTGCAGAGTGCAAAAGCATAGCTTATTCCCCTTCACAGGTTGATGATTTTGTTGATGGGGTTGCTAGTTCTCTGCATATTGCCTTAGACTACGCAGCTCCTTTGAAGATGAAAACCGTTAAAAGTAGAAAGCTTGCTCCTTGGTTTAATGCAGAGCTGCGCACTTTGAAGCAAAATGCTAGGAAACTGGAGAGAAAATATCGCTCCACAGGCCTGCGAGAGTCCTTCCTAGTCTGGAAAAATAGTTTACTGCTGTATAAGAGGACCCTTTGTAAAGCAAGAGCAGCATACTTCTCCTCATTAATAGAGGAGAATAAGAATAAACCTAGATTTCTTTTTAATACAGTTGCCAAACTCACCCAGAGCCATAGCTCTGTTGAACCGTCCATTCCACCTGCTCTTAGCAGCAATGATTTTATGGGATTCTTTATAAGTAAGATTGATCTTATTAAAAATAAGATCATAAGCACTCCTCTATCCGCGATTGTACCTGAGGTAGTCATGGAATCTGAACCGGGTTTAGACTGCTTTGATCCAGTTGAACTCTCTGAATTAGCAAAATTATTGTCTTCATCTAAGCCTTCAACTTGTATGTTAGATCCAGTTCCAACCAGGTTATTTAAGGTGGTATTCCCTTTGATGTCCTCCTCCATTTTTAGATGTGATTAATCTATCTCTGTTACAGGGATATATACCTAAAGCTTTTAAGGTTCCTGGAATTAAACCTTTGCTTAAGAAACCGTCTCTTGACCCAGATGACTTGGTCAATTATAGACCTATATCCAATCTTCCTTTCTTATCTAAAATTCTTGAGAAAGTAGTTGCCAAACAAGTTTGCAATCACTTACACCATAATGAACTTTTTGAAGAGTTTCAGTCTGGCTTTATAGCTCATCATAGCACTGAAACAGCTCTGGTGAAAGTCACTAATGATATTCTCATGGCCTCAGATAATGGACTTGTATCTGTGCTCGTCCTGTTGGATCTCAGTGCTGCATTTGGTACAGTTGACCATAATATTCTTTAAGAAAGACTTGAATATTTTGTTGGAATTAAAGGAACAGCACTAGACTGGTTTAAATCTTATCTATCTGATCGAATTCAGTTTGTTCATGTTAATGATAGATCTTCAACATGCTCAAAGGTTACCTGTGGAGTACCACAGGGATCAGTGCTAGGACCAATTCTCTTTACTTTATACATGCTCCCAATTGGTAGAATTATTAGACAGCATGGGATTAATTTCCACTGTTATGCTGATGATACCCAGCTATATCTGTCTATAAATCCAGATGAAGCTAACCCATTACATAGATTACAGGCATGTCTTGAAGACATAAAAACCTGGATGACTCTTAACTTTCTCCTTCTGAATGCAGACAAAACAGAAGTTATAGTCTTTGGACCAGAGTCTTTGAAAAAGAAGCTGATTAGCCAGTCACTTCATTTGGATGGGATTAAACTGATTTCAGATAATAAAGTAAAAAAATCTTGGTGTTATTTTTGATCAGGACCTGTCATTTAAATCCCATATCAAAGAGGTTTCTAGAATTTCCTTCTTTCATCTGAGGAACATTGCAAAAATTAGAAATATCCTGTCCAGGGGTGATGCTGAGAAACTAGTCCATGCATTTGTTACTTCAAGGCTGAACTATTGTAATTCTTTACTATCAGGAAGTCCATAAGCTGTAGTTAAAAGCCTTCAGCTGATCCAAAATGCTGCAGCCAGAGTTCTGATGAAAATGAAAAAGAGAGATCACATCTCTCCTATCCTGGCTTCTCTTCATTGGCTTCCTGTTAAATCAAGAATAGAATTTAAAATCCTCCTTCTCACATATAAAGCCTTAAATGGCCAAGCTCCATCTGATATCAGAGATCTGATTGTTCCTTATGTTCCTAACAGAGCACTTTGCTCTCAATCTTCAGGTTTACTAGTGGTTCCTAGAATTTCTAAAAGTAGAATGGGAGGCAGATCTTTTAGTTATCAGTCTCCTCTCCTGTGGAACCAACTACCAGTTTTAGTCCGTGAGGCAGACACCCTGTCTACTTTTAAGGCTAGGCTTAAAACTTTCATTTTTGATAAAGCTTATAGTTAGAGTGGCTCAGGTTATCTTGAGCTATCTCTATAGTTATGCTGCTATCGGCTTAGACTGCTGGAGGACATTATTCTGCTTCATTCTCTCTCTATTCTCCTATTCTGCAGAATCTGTTAGTTCAATCTCTAACGTTCTGCCCTCTCTGCTTTTCCTCAGAGGAGCTTCATCTGGTCTGTTCCTGTTTGGCTGTGACGTCATCCTGGAGAGAAATATCAGCTGTGCTGCTTCCATCAACACCCTTGTTTATAGATGCTGGAGATCGGCCTGTTTTCCAGTGTAGTCCTGTTTCTCTGACCGTGACTGAGTGGATGTGCTCTCTTTGTCCTCTGGCATGGGAGATGGCTTGGAGCTCGTCTGCCTGGCTGTGTGTTTCCTGGACGGGGCCGCCTTTTACAGCTGCTTTTTGTGTCTCTGCTTCTGTCTCCTTGAACCCCAGTCGGCCTCAGCAGATGGCCGCTCACACTGAGCCTGGTTCTGCTGGAGGTTTCTTCCTGTTAAAAGGGAGTTTTTCCTCTCCACTGTCGCTACAAGCATGCTTAGTGTGAGGGATTGTATTTGAGTCAATGAGTCGATTCAATCAACTGGTTTTCCTTAGAGAGAAAACTTTGTATCAATTTGACTGGATGATCTGGTTGAACTGTAAAGTGCCTTGAGATGACATGTGTTGTGAATTTGGCGCTATATAAATAAACTGAATTGAATTGAATTAAATAAAGAAGCTAATTAAAAGAGTTATATACATTTATGTCTCACTGTATGATTTAATTTCTACTTACATTTATTTGTTTAGTGTATTTTTGGTGTCAATTAATTGTATGCTAATTTATTTATTGAGTATTTATTTATATCTGTATTTATTTTTATATATGGCAGAGTCAGTCCTCCATACTCCACTGAACCATTTGGTATAATAGCTATAGTTAAAGTTTTCAGGGGAAAAAAACTATGTGAAAATTAGTTCAATATTCAGCGATTTATAGTTGACCAAAATTGATTCTGTGCCTGGTCAACACATTACACTGAGCAGAGCAGTCGACCGCCCCAAGATGGCGCGCCTAAATCTCGTCAGCTGCTATAGCCGAGAGCGGTCGATGCGGGGTCTACTCTTTATAAATGTCTATTTATGGGCCCTAAGAGTCGAGAACGAGCTTTGAAAGCCGCAGAGGGAGCGGAAGTCAGATGGACGCCAAGACCAGTGTCCTGTCAGATGAGCATACCCGGTCAGACCAGCATACCCATAGTTATCCCATTAGTTTATGCCTTTAGTTATGTTCAAAAAAAAAAAAAAAAAAAAAGCGTATGACGATCTGACCTTGTATTATGTTTTTTTTTTTTTTTCATTTTGTATAAAACTAAAGGCATGCGCATTGACTAGTGGTATGCTGATCTGACAGAACACCAGTCAGATCGGAAACCCCGAGAAAAAAGCCCAGCGGCTAAATTACAAACAGATCAGATACTTTCTGTAGCTTCCTACCGATTCTGAGGAGTTTTATCTGCGGGTTCCAGCAGGTTTCCATCAGTCTGATGTCTTCCTCGTAGCGGACGATGTTTTTTTCAACCTCTGTGAAGATTTCTTCAGCAGCAGCAGTTAGTCGCTCTCTGATAAACTCCCTCAGACGCTGAACTGAAGACATTATTACTGAAACTATTGAAATACGCAGCTGAAATATGAAAACTAAACTTTTTACTTGCTGGGTCCAGGCTAGCGACAACTAAATCCTTCCTCCAGCGCCAGCGCTCCACCCCGCTGCGCTCCAGACCGCCTGCGCAAAGCAAAGCCAACATCCTCCGCTTTTCCTCCCTTCCTGCTCCACTCAGACTTCCCTGGAGCGCGACTTTGTTATTATATTCATAGGAGCAAAACGTGCGGAAGTGAACGCTTAATTTAATATGACACAATTTAAAAATCAGCATCCAGCATATGTTCAGTTTCTTTTCATTTTGTTGTAACAGATAGGCTATAATATGATGATATAAAACTGGTTTGGATGAACTCTGCTTGTCCTCTACCTCCAAACTCAGCATCTCTTCATCCATGCCTGCGATCAGAAGTTTGTTTTGAAGTTGTCAGATTCACTCTTGAAAGTTTTTACAGGATTTGATTAAACTTTTAAGCCTCTCTTGCATCCAATCGTTTAATGAAACGGTCTTAGGTTTTGAGAATATATAAGAATTATGCTATAATTTCAATTATCTTCATTTATTCACTGGATTGCTGATTGCCCGTTGGTAGTACTGGGCTGAAATGAAGCCACTGGCCGCCATATTGGTACTCCCTAGTTAAACAGGTGTTATGCCCAAAAGTGCATGCCTGCCGAAAAATGCATCCCCAGTCGCGGGAGCGCGCCTCGCTCTGTTGAACTGCATATCGACGAGGAAAACGGATTAAAATATGTTCAATGGAGCTTAGGTTCTTATATTAATGATATAAAAACGTTTAAAAATACCTCTCGTGGGAAAAAAGTTGTGGTTATTTGGCAGATTAATTTACAAAAGTACGGATTTTTTGAACAACATTAAATCCAAAGATTTTGACCATGGTACGGCTGATTTATTTGTTGTGGTCTCTTGCTATTTACACACAACACTAAACCGTGACAGCCGACGTGAGTTTTGAGTTTGCAAAGCTTTCTCTTAAGTGGAAAATCAAACGCGCATCTACATAGCACAGCGTTCACAGACCAGTGAGATGCGTTCGCTGCGCGTCAGAAAGCTATGGTGCATTCAGGAGCATTGGAACATTTTAAACTTACAAGAATGAGGCATAAAACAGAACTGTATTTTTACTGAACTGTATGGTATTTTTTTTGTTTGTTTGTTTATGCACATCTGCTAGCTTTTTATTCTAAAAAATCTATAATATTACAGCAGCAATTTATCAAGGTTTTTCAAAATCCTGTTTAAAAGCTCCAAATGGGGCTTCAGATCATATGAAGCAACAATTGCACTGTCATTGTTTTACAGGGCAGAATTTGCATTTGCTGATCCTTGTACTTAATTACTGATGAATATACAGGAATACAGATGTACAAGTGTCAACTCCTCTGAGATAGCAGGGGATGCAGTTTTTGGCAAGGACCTGCCACAAAATGCATCCCCCTTGTTTTTAACCTAAGAATTGTCCTACACACATGAAATTCACACTGGTACCTCAGCACACATGTGGAAGCAGGTAGAAATTGAAACATCAGCTACAACTGTATATTTCTGGAAAAAAGCAGGGGATGCAATTTTTGGCAAGGACCTGCCAAAAAATGCATCCCCCTTGTTTTTAACTTAAAGTTTGTCCCACATACATGAAATTCACAAAGGTACCTCTGCACACATGTGGAAGCAGGTAGAATTTTCACATCAGCTACAAATCTATATTTCTGGAAAAAAGCAGGGGATGCAATTTTTGGCAATGACCTGCCAAAAAATGCATCCCCCTTGTTTTTAACTTAAAGATTGTCCCACATACATGAAATTCACACTGGTACCTCAGCACACATGTGGAAGCAGGTAGAATTTGTCACATCAGCTACAAATCTATATTTCTGGAAAAAAGCAGGGGAAGCAATTTTTGGCAAGGACCTGCCAAAAAATGCATCCCCCTTGTTTTTAACTTAAAGATTGTCCCACATACATGAAATTCACACTGGTACCTCAGCACACATGTGGAAGCAGGTAGAAATTGAAACATCAGCTACAAATCTATATTTCTGGAAAAAAGCAGGGGATGCAATTTTTGGCAGGTCCTTGCCAAAAACTGCATCCCCTGCTATCTCAGAGGAGTTGACACTTGTAGGTCTGTATTCCTGTATATTCATCAGTAATTAAGTACAAGGATCAGCAAATGCAAATTCTGCCCTGTAAAACAATGACAGTGCAATTGTTGCTTCATATGATCTGAAGCCCCATTTGGAGCTTTTAAACAGGATTTTGAAAAACCTTGATAAATTGCTGCTGTAATATTATAGATTTTTTAGAATAAAAAGCTAGCAGATGTGCATAAACAAACAAACAAAAAAAATACCATACAGTTCAGTAAAAATACAGTTCTGTTTTATGCCTCATTCTTGTAAGTTTAAAATGTTCCAATGCTCCTGAATGCACCATAGCTTTCTGACGCGCAGCGAACGCATCTCACTGGTCTGTGAACGCTGTGCTATGTAGATGCGCGTTTGATTTTCCACTTAAGAGAAAGCTTTGCAAACTCAAAACTCACGTCGGCTGTCACGGTTTAGTGTTGTGTGTAAATAGCAAGAGACCACAACATACGTAGTTTACTTTAAGTTAGAATGAAAAAAATACGCACATCATAATGAAGTCTCTAAATAATTTAATATAATATATATTATTCATATCAGTCACAAAAAAATGAATGTGTAAATGGAGCATAATAAAACAGATGTGGCAAAACTGATGATGTACATGTAATATACATGTACTTATTACATTGTTAACTCACACACACACACACACACACACACACACACACACACACACACACACACACACACACACACACACACACATATATATATATATATATATATATATATATATATATATATATATATATATATATATATATATATATATATATATATAATTTTTTTTCCCTCAAAGTAACATGAAATATATTTTAGCACATGACTTTTTAAAATGATAAATACAACAAACACTAGAAAAACGACAATGTCATCCACTTGATAAAAAATGACTACATTGACATTTCTCAGTGAATTACTTTTTATTTACTCTACTTTCCAGGGGCGCTGCCAGGAATTTGGGGCCCCATGAAAGATAGACTTCTGCGTTGGTCTGGTTGATGAAGGTAAATTCTCAACTCTGTGAGCTTTCTGGCTTAGTTGTTTGGCCTCTGTGTTATTTACAGACACACAATATGCCCAATAAATGCTGGATTAATCCTGGTTTATTTTTTGAAAACTAAAAATAAAACATGACAAAACAATATAAATCCTGGAATAATGTTCCGTATCAGACAGCTGGGGGGCATCATTAGTGGTGTGATCACCGTCCTGAGGAGGAGTAACTAAGTAAACTTGGGTCATGGTATTGGATGCTTTCTCCCTCTCTCCTCTTTCTCATCCCTTTCCGTTCCTTTTTTAAACCCAGACTTTGTGGTACATTTTTCAGCCACGGACGTTTTTACCAAACTGTTGTTTATTTACACATTTTCTTGTTTATTTCTTTGGTTATCACTACGTCAAACGACGTGTGTGTCACCGGTATGAGCGAACTGCCGGTGAGAGATTTGGAGACCTGATGCAATGCAGGACCTGAGGACCAAACAATTTCCAGCAATATCATGGGAGGGGGGGTGTCAATATATTTATGCTTTGTTCACTGTTTACTGCTGAAAAATGAGGGAGAACATGAAGATTATTTTACTGCTGGATTTTCTATTTATATTTGAAATTTATAGTGGAACAAATCTTCTCTTCCTCTTTTGGGCCCCCCTCTCAGTGAAGCGCCCTTAGAATCGTCCTAACCTCCCCCCCCATATGGCACCCCTGGAAATGTGGCAGCATTTAGCTTCACTGACAAAGATTTGAGTTGTCTGGGAGGGCCTGTAACACACTCGGATAACGAGGGAATTAGGCGACTTTTTACGTGCTCTAGGGGTCCCCGGTGATGATATTTCATTAATGAAGGGCAGAAGGGGATTAAAACAGGAGAGCTAGTTAAGTCTTCAGACAAGGCCATGGCTTGATGCTAACATTTTTTTTAGCTGTCACTATTTGGTCAGAATTCTGAGAAAAAGGCAGAATTCTGAGATTAAAGCAAGAAGTCTGACTTTTTTCCCCATATTAAACTGAAATATTATTTAAAAATCAGTGAACTTTTTTTTATTTTTTCACTGGCCCTAATCCTCTTCCATAAAGTGAGGTTGGGAATATTTATCAAGTAGCTGGTGAAGATTCTTCATCATCTAGTTCAGTCATTACAAAAAAAAATTAAAAACAAACCATTTGACTTTGTTTTCTGAGTTTGAAGATGTTCGTTTCCCATCCATCGTCAAGTATTTAAAAAGCATCAGAATTAAGGCTGAAACCGAGGTTTTGGAGAGGAGGAGATTGCTTTGCTAGCGACTTCATTATTGACATTATATTTGAAACACGATAAGTATTTATATTAGACTTAGACTGATTTATTTTGTAATTTTGTGTACACAAGTGTAAACAAAAAGACATTTAGTTTAGAAGAGCTCTAGAAAATTTCATTTTTTAAAGTGCAGCCTTGATAGGGTAAGCAGCAGTAGTTGTTGAGCTGCCAACAATGCCTCCAGCTCCTGAAGCACTCGCTTCTCCTGGCTCAGGGGAGGAAGAGGACGATGATGACGATGCTGTGAGGGTGGTAGCCCCCCTGGGTTGAAGAGGCTGACGTGGTTGAAGCAGCAGTGGTGCAATCGGCAGGTTTAGCAGCGACAGACGATGCTGGAGAAGGTGTGGAAGTCGGAGGGGGCCGGGAGGAGTCAGCTGGGGATGTTTCAGCATTTGGCACTGCATGAAAAGTGGGATTTTCGTCAATATATGGCACTGTAGATTGTCGTGGAACTTCAGGTTAGCGGCAGTTTACGGCAATTTGCAGGCTTCGACGAAAACTCCCGTAAATTGTCAGAAATTGACGTGGAATTTCTTAGGCAGTGTTCCCCCCTATGCCTCCCCCCCATGGAATTCTAGGGGAGGCTTTAACATGTAAATGAACATGCTGTGAGCTATACAAATGCAAACCAGGGTTGCAGGGG